CCACAATTCTTTCAGTTTTTTGTTTTTGACTAGGTTATCCTGCTCGTATACCTCGATCAAGGCCTTCTGACTCTGAGAATGCTTCCGTTGACCCAAGGTTAAGAAATGTTGAGTGTAAATTCTCCTCGCCCCACCTTAAGCATGTAAATTTTTAACTTTTTAGAAAACCTCTAGCATTAACATGTATCCAACCAAGCCTGTGAAGGTTTAACTTGAGATTTTTGAATTATTCTACAACCTAGGAAAGTACACTGTGGCCAATATGTGAATTGATCTCTAGTACTTCATTTTTAACAATGTGGCAACTAATTCCTTTTCCTGATTAAAGTGTAACCAGATTTTCACTCTTTCATCACCCTCCATGTTAAGACCAATTGCAGAACTCCTACTTCTGACCTATTTGAGAGCAGTGATCCAATCCCAGGAGTGACCATCAGCCTGTTCTGATCACCATGTTTTAGCTGCATGCTGACACTCTAATAACTGGATGTTGAACACCTTTTTAAAAAAAAGTCTCTTAGTCATCATAACTCAAATAGTGATATTTTTTGTAATAAGTTTTACTTCAGAGCATTGAACTGTACAGTAACAATGATCTGTGAAAATAGTTAATACCTCTGTAATGTGTGATTGCAAGTAGAGAGAGCGGTTTTCCCTGAGGGAGGCTGTAACTGTCAGCTGGAGCCATTTTAGTTTGGACTTTTAACTATTTTGGCAGTGGCTAACTTATGTCTGGGAGCAGCAGCATTACTCCTCCAATAAAATTTGCTGCAGATTGCAGTTATATCAGGAACATAGTGACTTAAGAAATTTATGTTAAATTAATAATTATGACAAGTCCAAATGTGTTAAATCTCTAACATATGACTAGATCAACTTTGATTTGACTGTATGTTCTTAATATGGCTGTTTTTCAGCAAAATAAATATTACTGAACAAATTTTGTCTGAGAGTAACTTTGAAGCTAGTCTGTTTCAGTGGAAATCCTTGTTCATGTGTGCATTTGCTGGTTGTTTTATTCTTGAAAATATAGGATAAAGGGGTTTGTCTGTATAGATCAATGGGGGGCCTATACCCATGATTGATTCAAGTAATGAATAGTTGCCCAGACAAGAATATTCCACTTTCAATCCTTCATTTGTTATGGGGTTAGGTAACTATAATGAGTTTGATAGACCTATTATGAAGACTTGGCAGGAGAACAATCATTAATTTTGATTAGCCTGATCTAAGCATTGATAGAACTACAATTAGCTTTGGTAAACTTAGTTTAGGAATCGGTAGGAGAGCCGTAATTAGCTTCGATGGGACTAGTTTAGGGAAATGTAAAGTTGATTGGGGTTGCCCACCTGAACACTGTCCAGAAAGCAGTCAAATAACTTTCCATTTCTCCAAGTCTATGAGTATATATTAATAATAGCCACTAATTTATGTACCAGAGATTGTCAGTTAAAGTACCTAGCAGAGAATAATCGTGGATCTGTTGAGTTTGCTCTTCCAAATCTGCTTTTGGCTTCCTTATTTCTATTGTTGTCCAAATTGCCCAGTAACTCTTTTGACAATAGGAATTTACCCATTTTTGTTTCAAATAACCTGCCCTCATTTTCTGTCCCAGTAATCTATTGATGAACATTTATACAAATTGAATAGCACCCTCAAAAACTGTTGTATAAATTTCCTTATTTTCTTCATCACCCTTAGCTTTACCTTGTAGCCTCATAATTCCAGAACTCCAAGTTCAGTACTCCATACAGAGAGCCCATTGACCTGAAATGTTAACTCTTTTTCTTTCTCCATGATTCTGCCTGACCTGCTGAGCATTCCTGGCATTTTCTGCTTTTGTTGCAGTTTTCCACTGTTCAAAATATTCTGCTTTGCCAAGCCTCACCAATGCCAGTTGTAAATTCAAAACTGGTGCCTTTGATATACGGGTCTCACTTTTGCTGTGCATTTTGTTTGGTACCTTGGCTCTGTTACCTGGTGAACAGTGTTGCCTCGTGTGTTACTGTAAAATGTTTACTCCACATTCTCTCATTGACATAGTCTAATGCCTTTATGCTTATTTACTGAATTTGATCTCCTACCTCTCCATCCTGAGCTAAACTGTCTAGGTTCCTTTCAGATTATGACACAATGGTCACTGCACCCAACACAGAGTAATTTACTTTAGACACATGTCAGTATTCTTTACTCTAAATCAATTTTAGAAATGTTAATAATTAATGGGTATAACACTGATCCCTGTGGCCACCACTGGAAGCTGTTTTCCCTCATACCTCCCTGTTCTATGTCACCTCTTGCTGTCTGCCTTCCATTTGGATATTGGTCCAGCTTTAAACCATCCCTTCTCTCATACACCCAGTGGATCAACATGTTGTATGGGACATTGTCCAATACTTTTCTGAAATTTAGATTGTTAACAACCACTATTTCCAGATATCAAATTTAAGACCTCCTAGAAATCCATTTCATTGATCAGGCATTTCATTCTGAATTAATTCTTGTCCAGCGCTGTGTACTTACATGTGCACTTTCAGATAATCCCTTGTGCTATTCTTGATGAGAATATTAAACATGCTCTTGTCAATGGATGCAAGTTTCACAAATCTGTTCTTTTTGCTCCCTTTTTATTTGAAGATGTTTTATATACACTACTTCACAAATGATTAGGATACGATCTTAACCCAATAAGTTTTGTAACACCTGTGAATGGATTTGTTATCAATTTGCCAGCTCCAGTCACATCTTTCAATTGAAATGGTCAGCTTAATTTCCAGAACCTTGTTTACTTAAATGTTTTTAACCTTTCTGAAATAGCTCTTCTTGTGATACTGTGAACTTCTATCATACTGATTTCTCAGTTCAGTTATCTGTTCTCCCACTATCACTCTCCCAGTTTCAGCAGAGAAAATAGTCAAAACATAATGTAATAATTTTGCCACTGCCTGTCTTTCATCTTGCAGCCACTGATAATTAGTACAATTTCCTTGCATTGTTCTCATTCTGAATTTCTTCATGACTTGTTTTGTTAAATTGAGCAGAATTCGTTCTGCGTTTTCTATCTTTTCATATCAGTTACTATCTTTGTCTTGTTTTTCTCCCCCCTCTAAAGATTTTTGAAACTCACCACATCCTCTCTCCCTAATGCCTCTTTCCTCCTCTGTTGGCTTCATCTTTCCTTCCCCATGCCTCCTGCCCCGAGATTATCAAATCCTGTAATACACCAGTATTTTGTTAAAACCTTCTCTTCCCATTTAAATAGTTTTTGCCATGTTCTTAGCTTGCACAAAATTTAATTCTCTCAAAAAACTGCTCTCAAAATCCAATTCATTATTCACCTTGACTTCACTTGAACCTTAAAATTAACAAATTTATAATCATTTGTCCAATGCATTCCACTAGTGAAAATTGACCCTACCCATTAGGGGCCGATTCAGTATTGCCTACTTCTGGGGGTTCTTTGGATTGCTTAAAAGATTTTGAATTATTTTGGTAAGCTCTCTCTACTGTGAAGTCCTAGTCTGAGTCAGGAAGACCACAAATCTTTTATAGTTCCAAGAAAGACATTATCCATCTCTTCCCTAACCTCAATCAACAATGTATCCAGAATATTACTTTACTCAGTGTCCATCTAGAAATACTCTGCTACCATCTTTTTCTATTCCTGTCCTTCAGATGCACCCAAAGTTATATTCTGTCTGTTTCTTCCTCTTAACCATGTATTCATCTGCCCTCACACATTCAATCACTGTATCAATTCTTGACACGTAACATATCACGAAAGATTTGTGTTGCTATTGATTATCTCCTTGCCTATTTCACTAATTCATACAATGACTTAGTTTAATCATAGCACAGCATTTGTGCTCCGACCAGCCATATAAGTACACCTTGGATTATTCTTTGCCCTTTTTTTCTGTATTCGCATGGATCTTTGTAATAAAATGGTTTAAACTGTACTTTCTCCTTATCTGCTTTCCTCGATGAAATGCTCCTCAGTTCCTTTATGCCAAATGAACGTGCCTCGTCAGTTTATGTGAAGGCTGTTTTAAATTGTACATCCATCCTTTCTTGCTAGAAGTCATCTCATTGAGCCATTAGTTTGAATCCCCCTCTTCCTTTACCATTTGTTCAGCATACATTATTCTGTCTAAACTGACCGTCTCTCTAATGTGTCTTGAGACAGTCGCAATGCTGAGATTAATCCCCTACTAATCTTATTTAATAATCTTTTCCTTCACTTTCGTAGATCCTGAATTTTGTTAATCTACATTGGTTCTTAAATGAAGTGTGAGCTGTGGCATCTCCCCTTCCCATTGTTGGATTTTATTTACTGCTTGGTCAAATCTGAACCTCACTACCAAGAATACTTTTTTTTCAAGTTGAGGGGTAGGAAGAGAAGAGAGCACACACTGCCTTTACCAGCCAAGTATTGAGAAAACCAAATAATCTAATTTGTTTGGACTGCGTGTTCCCAGTCATCCTTCATTTCATGATTTCCTCTGAATCTACTGATTCAGGAGGCAGATCTAACCTGTAAGGCAAATGGGAATTTTCGCTGCATATCATGACTTCGTGATAGTCGTGTAATAAGAAGTTAGCCAAGTGTCTTATTTCTGATTAGAAAGAGAGAACTTTCAGAATTCCTCAAAGATTCAATTTAGCTTAACTTCCCATTATAGCCAGTATTGGTTCAGTAATGGTGTCAAAAGAGGCATGAGAGAGATTTGCAGGTGGGTAGCAGTTCTCCCAGTGTGGTGGTGATTATGTATCCAATTGATTGACAGATGTTGACCTGATATACCTGTTGCCTATTTGATATCTCAGAGGCAAGTGTTAATGATTCCTTAATCGGGGAGGGCTTTTGTCCCCATCCAAACACAATCTAACTATTGAGGTTAAGTTCTCAGGTATGTTCCACCAAATACTGAATATCTCAAACACAAGAGGAAGTTGGGAAAATATGCACCTGTCTTATGAACTTATGTTTTTTTTTCTAGCTTTGGGGTGATCCCCACAACTCCACTTCCGATTCACACTCCATTGATGCCAAATCAGAGCATTGAGGTCTCCTTACCACTGAATACCATTGGCCCAGTGATGAAAATGGAACCGCTGAATAACCTTCAGGTGAGACTCTTCTGTATTGATGATTATAGAGGAAACAGTTTGACTTCTCTCTTTGATATTGTGAACCTTGTAGCCTTGTACTAAGTTTGCAAAAAGTGGAGGGCAGACTATTGAGCACATTACAGATAGCTATGTGTAGTCATTTTGATTAATTTATAGCCCTATTTCAAATAAACAGTAAACTATCTCTGGGAATTTCAGTAGTTTGGCCTAGATTCCTGTACATAGCTGACCTCCTGGGGAGGAATATCCAAACTAGGCCTTAATGAGGACTCTATCAGGGAGTGGGACCATCAGAAGAGTTAGGTAGAAACTGAAATTTATTAATTTTTAACACAGCTGAAAGAATTGTTGTGTGAATAGAGGAGGCAGGCAGGATATTCATGAGTATATCATGAACAAGGGTATGCTGCTGTGAATAGTGTAGTTTTGCTTTTGTCATCTCTTTAAGCAAGCAAAGCATGGTATGAATTCCGTATATGTTGATACTTGGAAAGAATGGAGAGTATGAGCATCATCTTGGTGTTGGGTGTTTAGTTTGGTACTGATTGTTCAAACGTCAGCTTTTAGATTACAGAAACTGAATTAAGTGCAAGTGCTTTGCCTAATCCAGGGTTGTCTAACCCCAGTTTCCATCAGTTTGTAAAAAGTCTTTCCAGATTTCATTGTTTTTTTTCCAAACTTTTTTACTTGACTTTTGTCTTTTACATTGAATCTCAAACCCCATGTTGGGATTGATTTTGACAGAAATGACCAACTGAAGTCTCATAAATATTTTCTACTTCCTAGAATGCCATTCTTTAACCCCCCTCCCCCCACCACCTTATCCCCTTGACAACTGGGAATACAATGCTTTACTGAGCAGGGCCATTATATTATTTTAGCATTATCTTGCTTTGCCTCACATGGCAACAAAAGAAGAAAGGGGCGCAGTGCTAATACAGCTCTGGTTATATCTTACAACTTGGTGAACCTTGAATGAAGGCTCAGAGTGCTGTCAAAACAACATGTCAGTCTATGGTTGCTTGGTGCAGCACAAACTTTGGATCTGTCTGGAGCTTTTGTTAAAAATAAAACTAGACTCATGTCCGTACATTTACAAAAAAAAATCTGCCAAAGGGTCCCTATTAGAAACACTAAAAATCTTCAGATTTGATCCATGTAATAAACCAGTCTGTATTTTAATCATTACTGACATTATTTTAGTTTGTTTGTCACATTTATCATGCTAAAATTAACCTACAGCTTTTGATCTCGAAATGAAGTGAATTGGTGTCACTGTGCAGAATTGTCAATGCAGCTCTGGATACACTGTGTTTGCTGTAACCTCGGATGGTTAATATTA